GGGGGGGGGGGGGAGCTCCCGGGAGTTCAAAGGACCATCCTTTTGGCCAGTATAGTCAAAATCAGAAATAAAATATATTTAAGGTTCTGTGTCATTTCTCAGGTCGGTTCAGCTAAGAGATTTTGCACAACAGCATGACATCCATCTAAAGATAAGAATGTGTAAAATATTTATATAGGCCTATATATATATATATCAGGGAGATCAGTTTTGGAGAGTCAAAAGACGGAGGCGATACCCGCGAGACGGAGAATTCAAGGGTTGGAGACTCCCCATCACTCTGCACGTGTAGTTACCGAACGTCTGGGAGAAACACGTGTCTGGGAGAAACACGTGTCACTGGTCATAATGGGTAGGTGGGTTTTCCTTGTTTGACTTGGCGTTAGTCCGACACGAATCATGGAATCTAATTTTGGATTGCGTTTTGTGCTAAGTACATGTAACATGACGACATAATTGCCTATTTTGAGTTCATGCTTGGATTGAGCTTTGCTAAATTTATAGAAGCTTAGGACATGGATGTCATATGCATAAAAGGTTCATTACACTGGTTACTGTTGCCCAAATTAAAATTTGAATTCATAAGTGTTTATATGCCGTCAAAAGTCCCCCCCTCCAAAAAAAAAAAAAAAAAAAAAAACTTACACATACAACCACCTCTCAACGTTTGTGTCAAACAGGGGCCTGGATATTTGCCAAAACAATGCCCTTTTTCTTATTTGAGTTTCAGTTATTCCACTGTGACGACCATTTTTCCGACGTCCAGGACGTTTCAGTCTAAAAATAGCGTACGCGTACCAGTACCGCAAGTATGACAATAGTATACCAAAATTCAAGATTTAAGATATTTTTATTTACGTGTCACCCATACACCTATAATAATAGATAAATAATACAAATGTAGTACATTAAAACATTTTCTGTAGATCAAATTTCTGTTCAATGCCGAAAATTGGCAGCAGGTTTTGGCTGTAGAATAAAAATTTCTGTCATTATCAATCAAAACTTTGCCACTCGGCGTGAAAATTAGGTCACCAATAATAACAAGCAATCTTCTTATAAACACCAGTGTGCTATTTTTTTTTAATAATATATATATATATGCGCCATAGCTAGCCAATTAATTCTGACTGGCCCATTTATCTGGATATGCCTTCCTTAATTGGATCGTACTATTCTTGTTTTGCACGACTCCGTGCTCTGTAATATCAGTTAATTTTCTGTGCATTACACAGGGTTAATAGCTCCATAATAATCTGAGAAATGTTATTGTTTTGTTTGGCGCTGGCCTTGAGATGAATATTCCCCCAGTCAACACTCGCCGTCAACTCAGAAATCTTGCGCGATAGGCCTATTACTGCGTCCTTTCCCGCCAAATCCGACTTGTTCCCTACTATCACAATCGGCACATTCGACGCATTCTTTGCGTCCAGAATAACCTGACGGAGCTTCCTTACTTCCTCAAAACTAGAATTATCGTCCACTGAATACACTAATACGAAGGCGTCGCCATTGCTTATGTTCAGCTTCTTCATGGCGGGAAAAGAGTAATATCCAGCAGTATCGATGACATCTATTACCATTTCCTCGCCGTGGTTGAGGTACACGAGGCGATGGCAGTCTTCTACTGTTGGAACATATACTTCGCTCAGTGGTCCGCCTCGCAGACGTGACACGATGCTGCTCTTTCCGACTTTGGCCGCCCCTAGGAATACGACATTGAAGTGTTGTTTGTCATGCTGTCCTCGGTGACACTGAGACCGAGGTTTCGTCCCTTCCCATGTCCTTTTTGAGGACAGCCGGTGGAAAATCTGGCTTTGTGGCATGCTGTTAAGTTGATATGATGTCACATAAATAAAAAAGTGCGTCCTTTCTTTGCCCTTAAAGAAAAAGAAGAGAGCTCTCCTTATTAAATGCAATTTGGCAGAGTGTTAACTTGTATATTTTTCAAGAACTTTGTAGGCCTATCACAGGAATATTTATATTAATGTGCCACAGCACAAGCTGTAATTGTTGTATAATGTCACTCTTACACATATGATACTAACAGATACGAAATAAGATTAAAATATATCAATTACACATGGTAGAGCTTGGGCCTTTAAACAACACCCCCCCCCCCAAAAAAAAAATAAATAAAAATAAATAAATAAATAAGTAAATAAATAAATAAATAAAAAATAAGACAAAAAAATTAGGGTAAACATCTTAGCCTATTAAAACTTAGACGACAAATTTGTGTTGTACAAAGAACTAAAACGCTGCTTAACTTTTATATTTATCTGTTTTGCCTTAAACTTAGCCCCTTGAATATCTTGTGTTTTGCTTGCATAATGCTTTCACTCTCAGTGGTGAAATTAGTCCATTTACGAGTATGCCAAATACATTTATTGTAGGATAATAATTTCTTACAATTACAAGCTTTCAGACTAGCACTGCAAAGTCTACTTTGTTTATACCGGCAGCTGACTGATTCCTGCAGGCTTAGCCCGATCAAATCACACTAATTATAAAACACGTCCCTGGGACTTAAGTCCATAATTTAGTTCTGCCACAGTTCAAGATATATCCACGGCACTTAACTTTAAAATGCATTTATTAGTCTGAAACAAAAACTATGCGTTTCATAGACCTATAAAGCAAGCACCGCATTTCAATGAATTAAAATACTACTGATTATTCTTGAATCAAAGTAGGCTAAAATGTTGATTAAAAAGTTTGAACTGGTTTGGGCGGTAGACACTTTGTGAAACACACCCCTGCCGGAAAGAAAGAAGCTCGCAAGCATTGTTTCTTATCACGAACAACACTGGACCAGCTGCAGGAAATATCCTCTCGCCGTGCTTTTCATTTTTTTGCTCTGATTGACCTTTTTCTGGCACATAAAAATGTAGGTTTGCCTGAAGCCTATCAAAACAAACAAACAAACAAACAAACAAACAAACAAATAAATAAATAAATAAATAAATAATTGGCGTAAGTTAACAAGCACTTGTGTCCATGCCTCTGCCTGGTTTGCCCCCGTCAAAAACACTAAGTCAAAGGGAAATTTTAAGTGTATGCGCTTACTTAGTAGGGCATATCAACTCTGGTATAACATCAATAAACAAGTGTGATAGGTTCTCGAATGGATTACTACTTACCCGCCAACAATTCGCCTCCGTTTCCTTGTCAATGGACTCCGTGGATGTGCTTGCTTATCTGTCAGCCGAAATGACGTTCAGAAACTCTCAGCTAGTTCAAATCAAAGTGTTAAATGCAACGTTATATCTGCGCCTTTTATACATACGCTTTAAGCTACTTATCGATATTCCTTTGTCACTTTCATGTATGATGGGAGAAAAACGATGACACGTTGGTTCATCTGAGGTTAAAAACCGTAATTGTCCTTTGTGGAAGCCCACTAAATTTAAAATAAAAATAAATGAGTAGATTCTAGTCCTTTGCCGTTCCTTTGTACCGAAGTGTGGTTTCAGTATTTATATGCATGTTGAACATACGCAAATCTTGCGTTCTACGCTTTACACATCCCCTCAAATTACAGCAAGAACGTCTCAGATTGTGCAATAATTTTGCGGTTACTTCGACAAACTATAGGAATTATGCATTGATCAAAATTGGGAAGCATCACGCAAAATGGCCTAATTCGTTTTTTCTGTTCTTAATGAAAAGGCACTGTCGCAGAAACCGTAAACAGCTAGGCGAGCAAGGATGCCGGTAGCACATCCACGTGACAGGGTCACACGCGAGTGGCACAAACGTGAAGGCATGCTGACTTAGCTTTTTTTTCTTTCGTTATTCAATCATTTTTTATTTACTTCCAACGTAAATTGCTCTCTTCACTACATCTAGCTATAGTAGTTATTCTTTTGAGTCAGTTCTCCATTCATACAGGTATATATACTTATTGTGTTACTTGTTGTTTGCTTTTCTGTGTTACTATATATATATATATATATATATATATATATATATATATACTTTTTTTAAGCTCTTTTTTTTACTCTGTCATTGTATTAAGTAAGGCAACAATTATATAAGACATGCTCATTGGTATTTATTTGTCATGTAATGATATTTATTATTATACTTATTTTATACACGTATATACCAGCATACTACTCTACGTATAGATAAGTGAGCCAGCAGATGTCAAGCCATGTACACTTTTAGTGCTCAATAAACATTATTATTATTATTATTATTATTATTTATTTATTTTTACACATATTTGTTCAACAACCATCCTGGAACCCTTCCACTCCACTTACTGAAATCGACAACGGAGAGGGTAAAGTCCAGGTGTGTATTCTTTAAACCGGAGCTTTCACCTCTGCAGACTTCAAAACTTTCGCAGCCCGTAATGATGCTGAGGCTGCTTCATTAATATGTCTAACTTAATCAATTCCGTAGACTGAGAAAAATAATTGGAGAGGTGGCGAGGAGAGCAGTTATTGAAGGCCTCGAATGGAACTCCTCATTTGGACGCTGACTGGTATGCAAATGCAAATGCAAAAAAAATATATATAATAATAATAATAATAATAATAATAATAATAATCTTCAGATTGACATGGAGAAAGAAAGCGGCTTGCACTTTAAAATCTTTACCCCCCCCCCTACCTGCAGCATACGGCCTTGTTAACACAGTTATATAATTTAAAATTCTATATAAATGAAATGTATAGACCTACTATCCGCATTTGCCAAGTACTAAAGTCATATTTTTTGCCTACGTGTCCTGTTAATCTACTTATCTTTCTCAATTTAGACATTAAAAACGATCAAATCAGTCACTATCCGAGGTATTGGGTTTACGATATATTGTATGATGGTTATAATTCTTGATAACAGATGTCAATATTTCCAATATTTTCTTCTGTAATGGCCAGTCATTTAGGACTAAATAAGCCAATTAGGAATGCTATAAACCGTGCCAATGACTTGTGAGAATAAAAATAAACTGCTTATTTTTCGTGGAAAATTCAGATTCGTGGGAAAATCGTGGATAGGATATATTTTAACATCCATCTTTTTTTCAGCTGTCGAAATAGTTAAAGATGATTGTGTAACAAAAAATCACGACTTCAGAGCATTTTTCTTTAATTTAAGGGGTTAACATATTTTGCAAATAAATAACTTCCATTTTGATTTCTGTTTCGTAATAGTCAAAATGAAATGAATTTGGAAATATAAAATACTTTTTTTCTTTCAAGAAACAGAATTGACTTCACACAAATAATTGGATATACATCTAGTTTGGTATATTGTATGTAGCATCTTTGTAGCACTTCCCAAACAATCATTTTGCTACGCTTTAATTGATGAATATATACGTTTTGGTTCCATTTGTGGTGTGCATTCCCATAATTAGTAGTAGTTATATCATGAGGCGAAACGAACCGTAGAATAGAGCAAGAAGGGGAAAAACCAACGACATAAGTAATACAGGAAGACAGACAGGAACATTTAACATGCAACCTCTAAAAAAAAAAAAAAAAAAAAAAAAAAAAAAAAACGNGAAAGTGGGTGAAAACAGTGAATTTATTTGATATTTTGCTGAAATCGCTTGTGAACATAGACAAAATAAAAGGTGAAAATAGGCTGTAAAAACAGCCAGCCCGTCGGGCGGGTAATCTGCAAATCTTACCCGCCCGGCCTGAAAGTTACCAGCCTCGGGCTGGCGGGCAGGCGGCCATTTCATACACTGCTATACAGGCATACAGATTATTTAATGCTACGTTTACAATACTGGATATTTTTACGTTTTTCATATTAGCGGGAAGCATACTGGATTTAGTGCCTTTTTTAATTATATTTTTTATTCTGAAGGCATCTTAATTGGTACGTTCTAGCACAGAAACGGGGCTCTGAGACCGGGAAAATAACAGTCCAGCTAACTTAGTCTCACTTAATTCGCTCTGGTCAGGTACAGCCCAACGTTATTGCTTTTGCCATCAGGTTTCCTCGTGACCCTTTGAGAGATTTTTCAAGTTATCGCACGTCTAAACGTTTTGAAACCCACGTGCTACACCCACCCCTCGCGCACGTGAGACCTTATGAAAACCTTTTAAGCAACAACAAAATCCCAACCACGAGTATGTTCCGCATAGCGTTATATGACGACCACGTAAACAGTGGTTATCTAGTGTTTAGCAAATGAAATCGGTCAAGGTGACAACCAGTGATCAGAACATGAGAAAATAGACCGCAAAGACATTGCTAACCACAGTACAACTAATTTGTGGGAATAATGTTTAGATAATTTCTCTCGAGTCACGCCAGATTTAGGCGTTGACATTGAACATTCATGCCAGCTCTCCAATTACCCGTGGTAAATGTTAACCTAATTGGCATGTTTTCTTGTCTTCTGTGCCGTTCTTCTGTAGCTTTTGGGTCGAATGGCACGAGTTACGATTCACGAGACTTGCATAGATTTTGTTTTCGGCAGTTCAGTCTCAGATAGAATATACTATTTGAGATGTCAGTTTTGCTGCCTGGTGATTATTGGTACCTATTTTTTATAGAAACCACTCCGTCAAGTTGAGCAAGAATAACCGGTGTGATTGAACAAGTTTTTTTTGCCCTTAGTTTTCAAGAGCAGTTCTGTTTCCAGATGTTTTCATTGTATGAAGATGTAATCCTGCCATGCGGTTTCTTACAGGGACATCAGCGTTTGAAAATCACCCAAAGTTGTTGACGATAAACAGTTAACATTCCTGGTGTACATGCATATTTTTTCAAAAACGTTTCACTATTTCGGTGATATTTGTCTGTAATAAAACCATTTATACCATATGTTGACATGAAAACTGAGAAAAAGCATGACGCTCTTCGCGCACACTGATATATGGTTATAATAATAATAATTATAATTATAATAATGTTGGTTCTTCCACAGTTTTATAAAAAATACATATATATGAAATAAGAGGCATTTTCTTTGGACGTACGTCCAATTAGGCTAGAGTAATCCGAGCAATGATTAGCCAGCGACTAAGTCGATCCAATTTGTTTCACGGAATCCATTGTTGTTCTGATCTGAAATGCCCGTCTACTGGTTCAAAATACCATTAATAAGTACAAACCTACGGTTCAGATCGATTTAAGCCCTAGAAATAGCATTTTGCCTTACTTCTGGGATCTGTTTCACAAATTAAAGTCTTACGTATAGGGGCTCAGATTAGACTGCTAAAACCGGGGAGCCGACTAAAGTGAAGCCCACGTTACATGGTCTCAGCACTTTGAGATACCATTGATACTAGTTGATATATATATATATATATATACTGATACTAGTTGATATATATATATATATATATATATATATATATATATATATATGTCCTTATCATCATACAAATTCTAGCTCATACATGAATAAGTTGTAAATGATATAGACGGTTAAAAATATATCAGATAACAGAGCTTTTTTTATCTGATGAAAGATGATTTCGTGACCACAAAGGGCACCTCCACCCTCCGAAAAAAAAATCACTTCTGATGAAAAGGAAAACACACCTAACAAAACAAGAAGCATTTCAAAACAGTGATTTAAAACAGCTTTATTCGAGTTGAAAGGCCTTCCAATAATAATAATAATAATAATAACAATGATAAATACTATAGGTTCAACGTTGTGGTATAGCGTTATTGCACAGTAATTAGCATTTTGCCAATTGTATTTATCATAATACAATTGGTCTTACTGAAAGAGAATCCCAGTTCACAGATATGTGACAGCGGTCAAAAGCGGAACCCTCCGCACCGGCAATGTAGAAAATATAGGTAAAATTAGTGTTTTGTATCTATATTAAACCTATGTTGAACTAGACATTCCAAGACTACAGTATCCTTCCAAGGGCAATAAAAATCGTTTAAAATATTAGGTAAGCGGGTTGGGGGGGGGGATTTTTGGTTGAAATTTTTATCACTTCTTTTCCTCCTGAATAATGGCAACTTCTGCATTTGTGAAGAATTTTTAAGATAACTTGTTCATAAGCCAACCAACCGAAGCTGAAACGCCTCACGTCAGCGAATGGCCTAACAAGCACTTCAGTCACAAATACTCCTAATTGCACTTTAAAACAATCCAAACCATGCGCTTTGACAAGTGTCTATATCAACTGTATTGTAATATATAATACTCATTTTACCAATTAATGACCCACCAATAATGACTGTACTAAGTTTAAAATTGCCCCGAGGAGATAAAATACATCTCTCTAACTGAGGAACATCGCACCTCCTATGTTGGAAATATATGTCTACGTTAGATTGGAGTAAGCAAAAGGGATTTCTCGGGTAAAATACATGCCGAATCGTCTTATTCATTTTTCACATAATATGCCTTTAAAAAAATTTGGATTTTGTGTTCAATAAATAATATTGTACCTGTATCATACTTTACAGCATGACCCAAATATCCGGTACATCAGAATGAATTAAAATGTAATTGAGATAATGTATTCCATCCTTTAAGGATTCATTTGTGGAATAAATTAAGCATTTTTAGATGGAGAACGGCAACTGGGTTGCATGGACGCCAAATCCATGTTTTCAAAACATCGCATTTAGTTCTCGGTCATTTTACTACAGTGTACAAAATACCTACATGTAATAATAATAATTTAAAAAAAACATTTTGGCATATAATTCTAACATATAATTACACCACCACATAACTAATATTCACAACTTCAGCTGCCATTTTTAACATCTTCAATTTTTTTTTCTTCACCTTTCACAGCATAAAAACTTTTCAAAATTCCTTTTATTGGTACTTACTACCTATTCAGTGTTCCTTGATCTCTACCAACAAGTGATGTATTGTGGGAACACAGGACACCTCTGCTTTCTTAACCATGTGCAATGGACATTCAAAACCAGTTTTTATCGTATCACTGGTACAACAAATACCAGTACATATTGTTGCTAACTGGCTTTAATTTGTCTCCTTCTAAATTAACTTTCGTGGTTTCAAGAAATTCAAGAATGAATCTGAAACAGATACCTTGCTGCTAAAAGAAACCATGTTTCGTCCTTCATGAAAAGGTACCCAACATTTCCCTAAACTTCAATACGTACGTATTGTTTTCTATTGGTAAACGCAAAGCAGATAATTGCACCACCTGATCCAAAGATATGTATCACTGAGGTTGTTCAAGATAAGACCTTTCATAGATGTTCACAGTGTTTGAAATCTTGATGTTTAGAACAACACTAATGTATCAAGAACACACTTTTTCTTTCCGTTTTTTTTTTTTTTTTTTTTTTTTTTTCACATAAGAACCTTGGATAACTCTCTTCTATCTCACAGTCTGAATTTCGTCCCCCAAAACTTGTGTCTTGTGCACCAAATGCAAAGCCTGGAGAAAAGTTCCTTATCATTTCACCTCATGTCAACTTGGCAACACTACATATTCGTAGACCAGCAGAGGGCTTAAGGTTCTGCAGTGCTACCTTTTGGAGAGCTTCTTCATAAACCGGAGTGTTTTCTGCATCATTGGGGCAACATGACGAACCACTGGAACATGAAAAAGCAATAAATATATAAATAAAATAAAGTAAATAAATAAATACATAAAGAAAATGTAAGCATTGAGAACTTGTATTATATACACTGGCATAACATACGATCAGACATCCTGGAATCTGAGGTCTGATAAAACTTATTGTTTATCATGAACATAATTAATTATTTTGACCTTTCACAGAAAAATTAACAAATCATAAATCAGACAACTGACCAATCAGAGTAAAGGAAACATACCAATATCATATCAGAACAATAATTATATAATGGACCACAATAATGTTGCAAAATTTTAATTTAACTTGGAAGACACCTGCATCCAAATTTCAAATGAAACAATAAAACAAGGAATGAATTTAAATCTGCTTTTGGTAAATATGCTGTTTTGCAGAACTGGGCTCAAGCCAATAATTGTTCAAATCTGCACTCATATCCTTTGTACTGACTTCTTTGAACGAAAAAAGAATCTTTCATAACCACTGACACAAAGTCCCATTTTTTTTTCTTAAGTCAAGGTGCTATTATGCTATGCTTACACAAACCTTATTACTATCTTAAATTGCATGCCAATTTGTATCAAAATTCCACATTACAAAACTTGTTTCAAGATCAACCAAACACACCAAGTAAACTCATGTCAATTTGACCTTTCTGCAGAGTATGAAGACTCATGCACAAAAATCAATACTAATTACAAAGGGCCATCCTGTGCGATCATGAACGTCAAACAAGGAAAACTACACTGCAATAACATATACTGTTACACTGCAATGTGGCATATTATCTTCTCAAACACCACGCAATGTAGCATAATACAGACACTTGATTGTACACTGCACAACTGTTACAGTGCTTTATTATCTAGAAACAATGACTCCTTATTTACATTACTTTACTTGGACTATTAAAAAAATCAACAAAAAATTAAGTAAAATATGTGATATTGACTACCCGTTGTCGTTGTCTAAAACAAGGGCTTTTTCAATTAGCATTTTCTGCAATTAACAATTCTACAACTTTTCATCAATATCAACATAATTTTGCAGCAAGCAGTGTTTTTAGCCTTTTCAAAAAGTGTCAGAGAGCCTGCATATCACAAATCGGACAGTTTGCCAATCAGAGTAAAGGCAACATATCATAATTCTGGTCACAAACAATTGTAAAATGGACCAAAGAAATGTTGCAACATTTGATGTAATCTTGAAAGGCACTGGCATCTTAATTCTAATTTTATCATAAAACAATAAATTATCTGCTAAGGAGAACTCGGCTCAAGTAAATAAGTGCACAAATTTTTTCAGCAATAGAAGCCTGAACAAACAGAATCGTTAAATACCCAATTACACCTGCTATTCTGTGCTTAATTCAAGATGCTACCTTGCCTTGCTTATCCAAAGTCTGAAACCTTCATTCAATTAATCGACCTTGACCTGTCATTGTGTGATATTTGATGAAAAAAAAAATGAACAGAATGACCTGAATGGTAGGAAAAATTTGACATTTTTTCTTTTTTTTTCACACATACAGTTGAGAATTACAGTAATGACTCAATCTTTTAATGGGCAAAAATTACAAAAATTTCAGATGAATAATTTCATAATCACAAAAAATTATATTTCTATACAGCATTTGTGGTGTTTTTACTGCACAGAATAGAAGTATAGAGTAACCTGGTTTTAATTGTGTTGCTTCCACTCAACAGGAATGCTCTACTTTTAGAAAATTGTGACTGGAAAACGCAATACCTCTAAAATTCACAATTCAACACTAATGAAAAGATTGGCGAGTTATGGCCCTTCACTCAAAATAATATGTGCATGGTGTAACTATATACCTCGACTTTTTTCATCCCAAATATGACTATGAAATGTGGTACAAATGCTGACCTACTGAATGCTGGTCTAGCATTTTAAATAGCCACCAAATGACAGACGGAACAGGACATTGGATAGTTCAACACCTGTTCCTGTTTCATAGGTACTTCTGACACAAAGGTAAATTAGTAGCTGTAAGCAGGCATTGTGTTGAGTGACATACTCGCCTTTACACAGGGGGAAAAAAAAACAATACTTGCCTTTAAAAAAAGGGTCAAGATTAACCTAAGACTCTTGAGCTTTTTTTTTTTTGTTTATCTGATTGAAAATGTTTCCTTCACTCTGATTGGTCAGTTGTTTGATTTATGCTATGTTTCTTGATTAACACACAAATAACAGGACCCGTTATCAGTGGACATAAAAGATTCACCCCCCCCCNTAAACGCAAAGCAGATGATTGCACCACCTGATCCAAAGATATGCATCACTGAGGTTGTTCAAGATAAGGCCTTTCATAGATGTTCACAGTGTTTGAAATCTTGATGTTCAGAACAACACTAATGTATCAAGAACACACTTTTTTTCTTTTTCTTTCCTTTTTTTTTTTTTTCACATAAGAACCTTGGATAACTCTCTTCTATCTCACAGTCTGAATTTCTTCCCCCAAAACTTGTGTCTTGTGCACCAAATGCAAAGACTGGAGAAAAGTTCCTAATCATTTCTCCTCATGTCAACTTGGCAGAATTTCATATTCGTAGACCATCAGAGGGCTTAAGCTTCTGCAGTGCTACCTTTTGGAGAGCTTCTTCATAAACCGGAGTGTTTTCTGCATCATTGGGGCAACATGACGAACTACTGGAACAAGAAAAATAAATAAATAAATAAATAAATAAATAAATAAATAAATAAAATAAAGTAAATAATTAAATGCATAAAGAAAATGTAAGCATTGAGAACTCATATTATATACACTGGCATAACATACGATCAGGCATCCTGGAATCTGAGGTCTGTTAAACTTATTGTTTATCATGGACATAATTAATTATTTTGACCTTTCACAGAAAAAATAAACAAACCATAAATCAGACGACTGACCAATCAGAGTAAAGGAAACATACCGATATCATATCAGAACAATAATTATATAATGGACCACAATAATGTTGCAAAATTTTAATTTAACTTGGAAGACACCTGCATCCAAATTTCAAATGAAACAATAAAACAAGGAATGAATTTAAATCTGCTTTTGGTAAATATGCTGTTTTGCAGAACTGGGCTCAAGCCAATAATTGTTCAAAAGCTGCACTCATATCCTTTGTACTGACTTCTTTGAACGAAAAAAGAATTTTTCATAACCACTGATACCAGGTCCTATTTTTTTTTTTAAGTCAAGGTGCTATTATGCTATGCTTACACAAACCTTATTACTATCTTAAATTGCATGCCAATTTGTATCAAAATTCCACATTACAAAACTTGTTTCAAGATCAACCAAACACACCAGGTAAACTCATGTCAATTTGACCTTTCTGCAGAGTATGAAGACTCATGCACAAAAATCAATACTAATTACAAAGGGCCATCCTGTGCCATCATGAACGTCAAACAAGGAAAACTACACTGCAATAACATATACTGTTACACTGCAATGTGACATATTATCTTCTCAAACACCACGCAATGTAGCATAATACAGACACTTGATGGTACACTGCACAACTGTTACAGTGTTTTATTATCTAGAAACAATGACTCCTTATTTACATTACTTTACTAGGACTATTAAAAAAAAATCAACAAAAAATTAAGTAAAATATGTGATACTGACTACCCGTTGTCTAAAACAAGGGCTTTTTCAATTAGCATTTTCTGCAATTAACAATTCTACAACTTTTCATCAATATCAACATAATTTTGCAGCAAGCAGTGTTTTTTGCCTTTTCAAAAAGTGTCAGAGAGCCTGCATATCACAAACCGTACAGTTTGCCAATCAGAGTAAAGGCAACATATCATAATTCTGGTCACAAACAATTGTAAAATGGACCAAAGAAACGTTGCAACATTTGATGTAATCTTGAAAGGCACTGGCATCTTAATTCTAATTTTATCATAAAACAATAAATTATCTGCTAAGGAGAACTCGGCTCAAGTAAATAAGTGCACAAATTTTTTCAGCAATAGAAGCCTGAACAAACAGAATCGTTAAATACCAAATTACACCAGCTATTCTGTGGTTAATACAAGATGCTACCTTGCCTTGCTTATCCAAAGTCTGAAACTCTCATTCAATTAATTGAACTTGACCTGTCATTGTGTGATATTTGATGAAAAAAAAATGAACAGAATGACCTGAATGGTAGGAAAAATTTGACATTTTTTCTTTTTTTTTTCACATGTACAGATGAGAATTACAGTAATGACTCAACCTTTTAATGGGCAAAAATTATAAAAATTTCAGATGAATAATTTATAATCACAAAAAATTATATTTCTATACAGCATTTGTGGTGTTTTTACTGCACAGAATAGAAGTATAGAGTAACCTGGTTTTAATTGTGTTGCTTCCACTCAACAGGAATGCTCTACTTTTAGACAATTGTGACTGGAAAACGCAATACCTCTAAAATTCACAATTCGACACTAATGAAAAGATTGGCGAGTTATGGCTGTTCACTCAAAATAATATGTGCATGGTGTAACTATATACCTTCCCAAATATGACTATGAAATGTGGTACAAATGCTGACCTACTGAATGCTGGTCTAGCATTTTAAATAGCCACCAAATGACAGACGGAACAGGACATTAGATAGTTCAGCACCTGTGCCTGTTTCAAAGGTACTTCTGACACAAAGGTAAATTAGTAGCTGTAAGCATGCATCTCTTGACCTTTTTTTTTTTTGTTTATCTGATTGAAGATGTTTCCTTCACTCTGATTGGTCAGTTGTTTGATTTATGCTATGTTTCTTGACTAACATACAAATAACAGGACCCGTTATAAGTGGACATGAAAGATTCACCCCCCCCCCCCCAAGATGGCGCCATTTACCTTTCTGTTGCCTCCCTAAGGGTACAGGGGAGGTGTCCACGTGACGGGTGGGTACTACATGTTTCTCTGGCACTCCTCCCTGACTGGTCAACTTGGCCAGGTGATTCTGGCCCTTTGAGGGCCCCGCTGTGCCAAACTTCATCTGCCTCCTCCTGACCTCCCTGGGGGGTTTGGCGGCCACATCAACATAGGCCAGCTTGACCTGACGAACTGAAATTTGTTATAAAGGTCATTTTTTAATATTAAAGCAAAGAAGAAAAGAAAATCTCACAAGTCTTACAGGTACTTGAAATTTTCACTAAATGCTATGCAATTATGAGACTTGGCTTGTCCTGAGAGTGTGGTAATGACCCATTTCAGGAAAAGTTGCTCCAGTGAGAATCATGTACATGTTTACAAAAACTGCCAACATGGAAAGAGTATATAATTAGGTGTAGGAAATACTTGTGATGTAAATACCAAGAACCTTTAACAATTTTTGAACATTAGACTGTTCACCTATGAGGCTCATAAATGATGACAAGGTTACACTTTGTATACACTGGATAAATCACATTTTTCTTCAACTTTTTAAAGGCTCTGTCACATTCTATAAGCCAGGTGTGCCAGTGCCTTAAATGAACTTCATGCAATATATTTCTTTCTATACCTGGTGTAGCCTTTTGCATGGACTTAGAGATGTTTGCAGTGATTTTTTTCAGTTTCTCCTCCCTCTCGTCATGAAGGCGCTTGTAAAAAAAAGTAATACATATTCATTGAAACAACTGGCACACTACAGCTGACTGCCGTAATTAATAGTTCTTAAGGCCGTTAAGATAGAAACTTGAAAATTCACACCACTATAACGTATGGACATCACATCTATTATATGTTTATCTGGTATAAGCCCAGTGAAGACATAAAGTTGCCTGCTAGTCAAAAGTCTAGAGGCGAATGTCAACATGCAGCAGATACAAGGGCACCATGTATTTTACTGGAAATTTCAGCAAAATGTTCCTTGATAACCAAGACAAACCACATAAGTATCCAAAATTACTGAAAAAAGGAACAAGTTTAAATTTAAGTTTTACCACCATCAGTCAAATTTATGAGTCTCCAAATCCTTTCCGAGAGTGACTCATAACTAGAAAGTCAACACTGCACTTTAAAGGTTTATTGACCTTAAATCTGTGCAGGGTTTTGAAGATGGTATAGAAGAATGTTTATGTCAAAGCTCAAATTTAAAGGATTTTTTTTTCAATGTTAAGGTCTACCCGCACTGCATGCCCAACAATAACCCACCAGGTAAAGCTCCCTCCATGTCTCCATTTCCTCTGGCTTGGCAGTCTTGAAGTCTCGGATGCTATGCAGGTGCCACAACTCATCTGTCTCTCCCACAAATTGCTGAAATTCAGAGGAAAAAATGACACACACCCTGATTTGAGAGTGAGAATTTGCTATCAGCTGACGTTTTTGATAGTTTTTACTTAAGCTGTTTGATGTGAAGTATTTTTTTGTCTCTCTTTTTCTCCCTTTCCATCCCTTCCTCTCTCTCTCTCTCTCTCTCTGAATCATCAGTGACCCAAAAAAGTCCTTATAAGAGAATGAAATATCCATTTGTGGATAATGTAAAAATAAAGTTAATATAATCTGTGAGGGATCTCTCTCTCTCTCTCATGTTAAATCAAACCATCATCATCATCATCCTTCACTCTTGGTCTGCCCCTTAAAGTTATCACCACATTATCAACACAGTGTGTAACTGACCAGTAGTTATTTTTAGTAGTGTCTTGAGCATAATTGTAGTATCAGTGTTGATGGGATTTTTAGTTTTTGCCCAGCACGTGCCATGCTAACTTTTTAAGACAAGTCGACAGGTTCTCGCAACGAGTTTCACGTTGAAAGTTGATGTAAGTTGATTTAAGTTGATGAAACTTGATGTAACTGATACAAGACGATACACAGTACCAGTTGATGTTACCAGTTGATGTTATATATATCGTTGACAGTTGAATAAAATTAATTGACACCCGCAACACAGTGCTAACAACACTTGACATGTACTTACAGGATTGTAGTCTTCCAGAGTATACAGCTGAGTTGGAGAACACCGCTCCAAGACGGGCTTCATGATGTCATAGGGCACGCCACCCACATAGTCTAGAGCTGAAATCACATCAACAGACAGATGTCAGTAAAGTAGAGAAAAAAAAACTGAATCTGATACTGTTTCTTATTTTAAATGAGTAAGTTTTGACCTTCTCACAAGGTCTTCCCTACGTGAACTGAGCTGTCACCAGTGTCAAGTGGTGCCAGTCTATCTGGGATGTCTACAAGGGCCTGATCCCATAGACGTGGACAAATCATAACATCCACTTTGAAAACAGATGTCAGCTTCATAAAATGGCTTTAGCCCAAAAATTGGTCTTAACTTTTGGACTTAAGTTTTAATCTATTAAATTCAAGATAAATCAATAGTAGCCCATTTGATAAATACAGTAAGTATTGATTTAAGATCTGATAATAAGTCAAGCCTCTTCTGTTGGAAGGACTGAATCAGATGCAATATTTCATTCAGTTTGTCATGTAATATTGCATTTAATTCACCATGTCAGTATTCCATTTGATTTACCATGCTTTACAACATTAGAGAAAGAAATGCTTACGAGAACAAAAAGTTAAGAAAGAAAAACAGACACACCAACAATGAGACAACATATCAACCTGACCTGCTGGGTTTAGTCAGTACTTACCGTCTATGTTTTCTATCAGTACTTTCATGCAGGCATTGTACAAAGTTGGTACTTCTAGAAGAAAATCAGATAAACATTACATATTGCATTGTAAATCATGAAGGTTTTAAAAAAACAATTTTCATCACAGAAACAACAATCTCCAAACCATTAAACATCACTTTTTCTAATTATTTCCCTCTAAAATTTATTTATGTAAGTATTTGGTATTAGCAAAATTCAAGTAAAGTTTGAAATCCGAAGATATTTAAGAAGTTTGGTAAAGATGTTATTAAATGTTAGATACAAAATATTACAAAAGGACACTTTCACTGACAGGACTGTGTCAGGAACTGGGTCACCTCCATAGCTAATTGCCTGGGGGACTGGGGGTGGGGGTAGGGTGGGTGGGGGGGGTCACAATCTACCAGAGTTGTAATAATACAATACCTGTGAGATAAACCTGCTTTCTGCCTGAGTAAACCTGAGTACGAGAATGGCTCTTGGTGCCAATTAGAGATTCATCCACAAATTCCCCTAAAAATGTAATTAAGAAGACAAAATAATTTCACCCACAATCTTGCTCTCTCTCTTTCTCATGCCCTCTCTTTCCTCTGTCATTCTTGTCTCTCATTATCTCTCTTTTTTCTCCTTTGCTTACTCTTCACATTTTTACTCCCCTTTTCTCTCAGTCTCTCTACTGTTAAAATATACTTTCTTTACCCTTTCATCCACAAACTTGTTCTCACTCTCTGTCATGTCCTCTCTTCCCTCTGCCATTTTCCTCTTTCTCTCTCTCTCTCTCTCTCCTTCCTTTTTTTCTCCTTAGCTTACTCTTCACATTTTCACTTCCCTTTTGTCTCTCTCTCACCTTTCTTCTTCCTGTTCTCGTCCTCCAGCTCCATGTGTGGCAGTGGTTTATAGTGAGGTTGGATCTCTGGTAGTGTTGCTAAGATGTCACCGGGAGACAGCTTTATCTGTAACCATGGAAACATACTGATAGAGAGAGACCATTCTAAGTTCTAACCAGTACTTCTCAAGACAAATATGTTAAAATCTTATTACCCCCCCCCCCCCCCCCCCAAGCAAAGCCCTAGATCTGCCAGTGGAACAATGTTGGGAATTGTTGAAATTATTAAGATAGAGAGCTTGTGAAAGATTTATTTATCTTGAAATAAACTAATTACTTAAAAACTGAGGTTTGAAAATTTCATCAAACTGTTCCCATACTAGGACGTATATCTAACAAGAACTACAATCACGTGGATTGTTTCTAATAACCTGTTTGGATGGAGTTGGAACATCAATCATCTTCACATCTGCTTTTCTTTTTTCTCCATGTTTAGCTGACCTCGACCCATCTTTCTCTGACCTTGACCCTGACCTTTCCTTGTGATGACTGCTGGACTTTGACCCCTCTGATACCGACCTTGACTTATCTTTGTGTTTGCCATCTTTATGATAATGCTTGGCTGTAGAATGACCATCATGATGGTGACCACTGGAATGACCACTCTTATGTTTATGATCTCGTTTTTCTTTACTTTTCGAATGCTTGTGTCCAGAGTCACTAGAATGTTCTCTGTGCAAATGAGAACTGTTCTTGGCAACATCAGAACCCTTAACAGTATCTTTGGCATCATTTGTCAAATCAGTTTTGGGTTTTGTGAGATAAGATGCATTTTTCCTCTCTTCTGCATTTTCCAATGGTTTTGACTTTTTGGATACTTTTCGTTTGACAGCACCAGCATCATAGTTCAAGAAGTCTTCGAAACTCATCCCTGGATTATCTTCGAGATCCTCATTCACCATATTATTCTGGGGCTCCATTTTCCCCAAGGTACCTTTAGAGTTTATGTCTTTTTTATATTGCAAATCCTTACTGTCTGTATGTAAATCATAATGACAAGGAGACTTCTCTCTCTGATCTGCTATCGCAGGCATGTCACCTGCAAAACTGGACACTTTCCTTTGGTCTTTCTCTCCATTTGCATATTGCATGGAGTCGCCTGAGCTGGTCTTTTCCATGTCATTTTCTGGTTTCTCTGAGTTGCACTCCCTGGGTAGTTTAGAGGCAGAGGTGTGTTTTCTTTCCTCTTCATGACAAATGCTAGAGTTGCTTGCCTTCTCTTTTCTGTGACCTTTTCCACTCTTGCTTTTATGTTTCCTATGGTCATGACTCTCATTGTCACTCTTCTTGACCTTGACCTTGGAAATGTCACCACCATCTTTCTGAGGAGATCTGCAAGGTATTTTTCATATCTTTACTCAAAAAGATAATTAATTGAAAATTAAATTGTATGCTACTCTAGTGACATAAAATCAAGTTTCCATGCAGTGCGTTGTCAGAAAATACATAGTAATAGGGAATAATATCAATACAAATGCCAAGTGCTATGAGTTTCATGATGACGCTATTCTCATTTGGGCCTCAATAGGTGAATAGCCTCTTTTCAAAAAATAAATTTGTAGGTAAGCAACAGGCAGAATATTAGTTGTTGATCGAATAAAAACATTCTGCTTTGCTCTTAGTGCATAAGAATTTCCTTTCATCAAAACATGTGTAGCTAAATCTGACAGAAATTTTGCAACATTTCTGTACTATGAGCTCAACATAAACATGTCAGGTCTGTAGCCAACAATTTCAAAGGGATGGTCCTTTTTATGAAAAAGTGGACCTTTTACCATGAAATCTTCACTTACCTAGTTCAAATTGTACCCACAGCAGACCTTAACCGGTTTGATTGAACCTCTAGAACTACCCCCCCCCCCTTCCTGGCAACAGCCCTGAATGTTGATTTTGAACCAGAATATAAGCAAGCTTTGTACCTGTCAACTTTCTCTTCAGGTGTTGCTTTTAAAAAACCCTTCCACTTGGTGACAAGGGCCCTGGCCTGTTCTCCCACTGCCTCATGTTTTCGCAGGTGGTTCACAGTTTTCCCGATCCCCGTGGACTGTAGCACGTCAAGAGTAACAGGCAACTTTTCCAACTTCCTGAACACTTTGAAAATCTGGGGAAAGTTAAGTTCAAAGGAATGCATTAAGGGTAGGTCTGTCGTTATGATAGTTAAGTATTTTATTCATTTATTTATTTTATTTTATTGCTTTATGTAAGACGGGTCAGAGGTGCTGGGTAGGCTATTGGGTTCCCACTATCGCCTCTCCATGGTACAGTACTTACACATTATTTGCTTTTAACACTATAAGTGAAATTGCCACATGACGCAGCTGCACACCAGCATCGAACGTTTGCATTTTTCGAAATTCTGAAGAAAAATATCATAACTAACAAAGTGAGAAATACTAGGTTATCTGTAAGGAAACTACTCCTTATTTTATTAGGCTAACCTTCTCTTCCGCAGGCCCTTTCTCAAGGTATTTCTTCAGTAACAAGATCTGCTTTTCCACATCCTCCATGTTGAGGACGTCACGAGCTGTGAAAATACTACGCGCCGATTGAAAAAAAGACCGGTTAGGTCCATGAGGATCTTTTGCTCAGATTTATCAGTAGATGAGCGTGGTACTAGTGAGATGATGATTTAATTTTTTTGTAACAAATAATATAAATTATAATTTAGAATAAAAATGGATCAACAGCTGAAAACGTTTTACTCTTCTTTGTATTTCATACTTTCTGTCAGTCCATTACAATTACATGTTTTAGTATGAATATTCATTTTCTGCCACCCTATATACATAGTGCTACCAAAGGTGGATACTATATAGTCTATCCATTTGATAAACCCAAGGGAGGCGTTTGGAAAGGACAATTGTGTTAGATGAGACAATACAAGCTCATCTAGCACAATGGCATCTGTGAAAATCTTTCTGATTGGAATGGATGAATGAAAGAGTTTATTGCTCACACATGACCTTTCAAATAAGGTACAATCATCAAAGACATGACTACACAGACATAAATCTAGCTCAATAACTATTAGCATATAGGACCTTTATATAGCCTACTGGTGTTACATTTATACTAAAAAAGTAACAGAAGTGTTAAATTAGGGAGGTCAGGTCAACTTTGATAGTAACTTAAATATCTGCCAAAGTGATCTCATCTGATAGAGCAACTCATGAGCTTTCCAAAACATTTTATTTTTTGAAAATCAAGCAAGCCAATCATAAGTAATTAAATTTTCAAGAATGCTAGTCGGCCACAAAATTTTGAAAAAGTCTTGTAGGCAAGCACATGTAACAGTGGAAGCCAAAAGTGTCACCTAATTGCCCAATCAATTAAACAAAATTGGCATAACTTTTGAATGGAGTAAAACATCCATTTGAAATTTTCTGGAAAGTTACACTATGCCAAGAAGAATCTGACACGAAAAAATGTCTGTAATTTATCCATTATTTCCATGGCAACCATTGCTAAATATCAATAGCGGTTGATACTATTTTTTTTCAACCCGAGGCTTCAGCTTCACTGCCCAAAGGCTACTTTTGGATGAAAATGATTCTTAATAATGTGCCACTAAAAACAAAAATCATGGCTTGTAATGTATCTGTTGCTATGGAAATCGTCATTATGATAGCTGTTGCTATGGTAACAGTTTGAATTATTTATTACATGTCATCATTATTCTTTAAACTGAATATGCACTCAGTTTATGAATTTAAGTTAAATAGTAAACAAATACTATGTCACTGTTGCCATGGCAACCAATATTACAATGACAATTGCATATACGAGGTTTATAACTAGTAAAAATGCCAGAATGCACAATGAAAATAAATAATATACGATTTCGGTGAGTTATTTTTTGCCAAAAAATTAAATTGATATTGGACATCATAGCAGCTAGGTAATAGAAAAACCAGCGAGATTTTTTTGGAGAGACTGCCATTACGTAATGGCAGTTTTAGGGGAATTTTCCTTTTTTTTTTTTTTGTTAAGAAAAAATAAATAAACCGTTCTTTTGTTCACTTTTGTTTGATTGCCATTAACCATTCTAGAGTTATTGCATATCTTCATGATTTTAATTAAGATTCCCCTCTTACGTTCTCTGACGAGTTATAATTAGGCGAAAAAAGAATTAGCCCCATCAGTTTCGTACGTAATTTCATTCTTTGTTTGAAAAATAAAATAAACTCTATATTCTTGAATTGCAGACGTTTTATCAATATCCTTGGGTTTCGCGACCAATTCAAAGATTTTCTGATTAGATATTCTGATATCTTGATCCTCTTTGGGTGCTGAAAGTGCAGTTGCTTTTTCATCAGCAGAACAGCTTGGTGCGTCCGCCATTTTGTTTGCGGTAAGATCAAAGTCACTGATTTTCTAATGGCTGTTACGGCTCTGTCTTACCAAAAAATGTTAAATAATTAACTAAATTGAACCAAGAATTAGTTAAATTATCTAGGTAGGGGTTACAGAATTTTTAGAACTTCCTTACTCTAGCTCTAAAACACGATTAAAAACTTTACAAGCTAGTTGTGGTTGCTGTTTTCGGTTAAATCACCTTCTGTAACCCCTCAGTCGAACGCTTAGTTTATTCTCTGCATGAATATGTGGTCAAATACGTGGAAATAACACCCGGGACGCCGTACGGAGCTTTTGGAAAAATGGCGCGAAACGCGCAGGTTGAGCAAAATGCGTAAATAGTGGGAACCAAACGAGGAAGTGAAATCACCGGCGATTTCTCGCAGCATTTTCGTGGCTGGAGGTTTACAACGGAGACATGGTACATTGTTACACATATTGTTAAAAAGGCCATTCAATGCACTTTTTAAATATATTTTCATATTTATCATAGGACCCAAATCTTAGAAGTTATGATGGAAAACAAACAGCGAGGTTAGATTTCTTCCCGTTTTCGACTGAGTGAGCGGTGTGACCTGACCTCCCTAGTTAAATGAGAATAATTCAGCCGAGAAGATACATGTACCATTGTTTTCTGCTGAACGCGGTTTAGGCCTACAGGTGGTATGACGTGGTGCTCTACAGGTGTAACGTGACAGAGAATCCCCCATGACAAAGATTCCGCCTACCATTCATTTGTACAGGTATAGTGTGACCATGTGATATAATTGGTTATTCTCTGTCTACTACNGAGTAAACTTCTGTAACTCGAACGCTTGATTCATTTTTCTCATGAATATGTGTCCAAATATGAGGAAATAACATCCGGGACGCCGTACGGAGCTTTTAGAAAAATGGCGCGAAACGCGCATGTTGAGCAAAATTCGTAAATACATGTAGTGGGAACCAAGCGAGGAAGTAAAATCACCGGCGATTTCTCGCAGCATTTTCGTGGCTGGAGGCTTACAACAGAGACATGATACATTGTTACACATATTGTTCGAAAGCCCATTCAATGCACTTTTTAAATATATTTTCATATTTATCATAGGACCCAAATCTTGGAAGTTATGATGGAAAACAAACAGCGAGGTCAGATTTCTTCCCGTTTTCGACTGCGTGAGCGGTGTGACCTGACCTCCCTAATACAAACTGACACATGCATAAAAACTCCCCATGTTGAATTTTAAGTGGCACTTCCAAGAAATATGGTGATAGGTAATCATTAAAATATGCTTTTTTGTTTTATGTTTTGCTTTACATCCAGTACGTGCTTCACACCAATAGCATTTTATCAACTTAATTGATTTTAACATTAATTATTAATAAATAAGGCAAATGACTTCGTTTTGGTTGTAAGTTTTTTGTGAAAAGTGAATAAAAGAAAACATAATGTACTTTTGATACCCATTTGTGTCTGTATAATATATAAAATAGCCATAAAGTACAATAATTTTTGGTTATTTTAATTGAATTTAACTAAGAGATAAAAATAATTTTCATCTGAATGTGCACAACATATGTAGACTGGAGAGATACACCAAAAACTAGTTTAAAACCTTGGCTACATATCAAACTGTGCCAAACAAACATATATGAAGGTGACATGAATTGCAGCTTGGTCTAGTTATATCTCTTTATATAAACAAAATACATCTATTAATAATTATCATATCAACTGCTAGTCTGAGTAAAGGACCCAGGTTAAAGACCCACTGTATATATAATCCCTACTATGGTGTACACCATGACCAAGTTAATATTTCTCTTTGTACAAGCTGCTGTTATTACAGTAGTAACATCAACTTTACAACATCATGCTGATGTCAATAATGATGCTTTGATGAAACTGGTTGAAAGAGTGGACAGGCAAGAACTAGAGATAAAAAATCTAGTTAGAAAACTAAACAGACAAGAACAAAAAATGAAAAAACTTGAGGCTGAGGTTGCTGCAGTCAGACTGGAGAACAAACAACTTAAGGTATTTTGGGCTTTGAATTTTGTCTCTCGGCATGATTGTAGTTTTTACCAATGATTAACTTAAATGTCAATAAATAGTTAAAACAAACACAATAATTAGCAATCTAAGTTCTACAATTCCCATGATCTAAAAATCACATATCTGTAGACCAATTAAAACTATGATTAATTTTTCTTTCACTTTCAAATAAGTCAGATATTCAGAAAGACAAGGTGAAGCTTGATGGGCAAACCACCATGGCTGCTGAAAAATACAGAGCAAAGTTTCACTATGGAAAGCATTCCATTACCAAGAGACAAGTGCAGCAAGGAAACTGTAAGCTAAATTACTTGTAATAGTTCTTAATATGTTGACTTGTTTACACCATTTTTACACAATATAACCTGAGGAATATTGCTAAACATGATAAAAAAAAGCAACTAAAAGTATATGTTTAACGTTTAATAAAAAAATGTGAAGATGCATTAGACTCCAATTTCTAAGCATACATTCAAATGTTTATTCAAATGTTTATTAATTCTGTTATTCCCCTAGCAGTATTTCAGCAGTACCTTTTGGCTGTCTTATATCTTTAAAGTATGCTTAATAGTTTAGGGACAGCTTACAGCTTCAGTCTCATTGTTGAAAACCAGTTATTCAAATCAACTTATATCTGTGTCCTTTATTTTAGTGGCGAGTTCAGTCTGTGTACAAGGACCCCAGGGACCTCCAGGAAGAGATGGCAGGGATGGATTCCAGGTTTACTTAATTTTCCAGACTTACTTTACAAATAATTATGTACAAGATGTTATTTAAGAATAAACAGCTTTTTCTATTGAAATATGTGCATCCATATATCATAATTTTGCAAAGAAAAAAAATGTATAATTCTAAAAAATAATTTTACAAAAAATGCTTGATAATAAAGCAATGAGATTCTTACTTATGGCATTTATAAACAAGTTGATTATATGCAGATATAAAGCCATTAGAATAATCTGCTACATACATGTAATACTATGAGTTATTTGATACATGTATCTGTGTGAACAGAATATCAAAAACCTTTTTCTAAAAGTAATAAAAGTAAGGTTATTCCCTAGCTTTACAATTCAGAGCCATGTCTCACGTTTGACATAGGTTAAAAATTGGAAACATAATAATTCAAACTC